CCACCCTATCATGTGATTTCCTGAGGTCAAAAGGTCTAAATGTGAGTGGGCATCCTTCTTGGGGGACGCTCCTATAGGGCTTAAATCTGGGACTCTCCACCATTTGACCTTAGAGCTGAAGAAGCTTCTCGGATGAGAGGTGAAACGTCTTGAAACAACTTAAAGAAGTCCAGACGCTTTTCTTTCCAAGCTCCTTAGACTACGATGACCTGAATGACTGAGAACCTTCACAGACATATTGGGAAAGGTAATAAATGCAACGTGACACAAGCACAAACACACTGTAACATGTTATTGATCTCTGCTTTCACCCACCTATTGATTGGTCAGAGTCCAAAATAAACATATTGGTCTGCAGTTTCAGATATATAAACCAGCCACACGTCAGACCTAGACAGACTTAGCAACTTAAACCTATGATGGTGAGTAACTTTTTACTTCACAGTAAATGTTGAAACAGGTTTTGAAAATGTCATTAACCTAAATATAAAACTGCAAAACAAGCAGACTGTTCATTTATTGCTGAAGATAATTTAACATTTGATTTCTAAGGAATTTTAGTTTTCAGATTTTATCATATGTTTGAGTTTCATGTTTCTTGTGCAGCCTCTCCGTTTAGGGTAACAGTGGTGGTCAGCTGTTTAATGGCTGCAATATAAACTGTTTGCAATAAAACAGCTTTTCCTTTTTATTAAAGCTGTCATTGCTGTTGCTGCTGGCTCTGTCACCAGCCAGTCCTCGGGGCACTGTGAAGAAGCACTCAGAGGACAGAAATGGTAAAATGTAACTGGCATTATGAATTTGCAAAAGTGTCCTCAAAAGTCCTTTTGTGAAAATAAACAAGTGAGATTCACTTTTTTATACTAGCTCTAAAACTATTTAGAGATGAAATGCTCAGATAAACCCAGTGTACACTATGTGCTCAGTAGCAATAAGCACTAATGAAACAGCTAAAGACCAGGATTCGTCAGTCTAAAGGCTGCAACACACCAAACACTACAAATTCGTCCTTGGATCATCAATTTACCTTGAGGCACTGGAATTGTTTATCTCCTGCTTAAATCTGAATTAACCCATTTAGAAATATCAGGAAATAACGAGACGTCCAGTTCATATTTTAATTTTTAATTATTATTATTATTTATTTATTTATTTACCAAGATTTGGCTTAAACCTGATTTTAAAACCGTTTTAACTGACAGTCATAAGAAATTCTGAAATAAAAGAGAAATTTAAGATGAATTGAAACTACTAGGAGAAAATATCATAGTCAAGTTAAAATTGTGTCGACCTTATGAAAAGAGCAGTTTCTGAAGTTTCATCTTTTCACACTTGCATATGATTTTATGATTTTTTTTTTTTAAAAAGGTTTTTGTTTTCTTTTATACAGTGACCTCTCTGAACCCAGATCTGGAGGACAGAGCTCCTGAAATGACAGACATCTCAGTTAACACATCAGTATATCAACATCTTTTGTTTCCAGCCAAGATGAAACAGAAAAGGCAGGCGTTTGATAATAAGGGCAACGTGAAATGGCAGACCTGGAATGGTTTCCTCCCTTCTGGAGCAGTGCTAATTTACAACACATATGTGGGACGTATTGACTATGTCTGTAAACATGGATGCCATGCTGGCTTGTACAGCCATAGCTTGGGAGATTTCTGCCACTATCCCTATGGCGACAAAGAGTATCGTACGGGCTCATTTGATATCCTTGTGAATGACAAATACTTTGAGATTCTGGAGTGGAAGGAAGGTTCCTTTGGTTCAGTGCCCGAACATGCAGTTAGAACATGTTCTAGTGATGAGGTTTATGTTGGAAAAAACAAGTATGGTCTAGGTAAAGTGCATCCTAGACACACTGCATTTTTTCTACCTTGGAGAGGTAAAGAATATTGGTACAAGTACTATGAGGTGCTGACCATTAATAGAGATATTGACAGTGAGATCATCTCTGATGTCAGATATAAAACTAACAACGCTAAAATCATCGAGTATCCTCCAGAGACCATGCGCATCTCTTCCAGTATTAACAATGGATGCAATCCAGTGACAAAAACAGTAACTCTTTCAAAGACAGTTAGAGATGAGAAAAGGTGGGACATTCACGCTTCTGTCTCGTTTGGTGTCACTACGACTTTTACTGCAGGAGTCCCCTTCGTAGCATCCGGAAGCATTCAGTTTAGCAATCAATTTACATTTGACTATTCAAATGGGGCAACTCATGCAGAAGAGCACACCCACACTGTTGAAGTACAGGTCTCCGTCCCACCAAACCACTTGTGCAAAGTCAAAATGCTGGCTTATAAGTATCATGTAAACATCCCTTTTACTGCTCTCCTCACCCGAACCTACAGGAACACAGCAGTGAAACTATCACACATCTCAGGGACATACTACAGCATCCAGACGGGAGAGGTCCGTGCTGTGGTAGAAAGATGTGAATACCTAACTTCTGCACAGCCATGCCCACAAAAAACATAATAACACAGTTGTAATCATGTGTATATACAAGTTAAGTTGTAAAGTAAAACTTAATATTCCAAATTTATCCCTCCAAAAATAAAATTGCATCAAATGTTCTGTTTGTCATGCCATACCCTCTTTTCCTTGTTTCATTATTCATACAACATTATTTATTTATTTTTCGTAAATAAATAAAACAAGTTTGAAAAAAAAATTTTTTCTAAACAAAGTACTTCAATAATATTATAATATTATGCTTTAAAGTAAAATAGTGTTACCTACCAAAAGTATTTATAGCACCTCTTCCAACTTTTAAAGTATTGATTTAGAACAAAATTTTCCCATCTTAACTCTGCATGTTGTTATATAAGGCATCACAGTGTTGCAGTATTTAACTTTGTTGCCTCACAGCAAGAAGGTCCTGGGTTCAAATCCACCATCTGCCCGAGGCCTTGCAGTGTGGATTCCCGCAGTGTCTGCATGTGTTCTCACTGGGTCCCCTGGCTTCCTCTCACAGTCCAAAGACAAGCAGTTACTGGGGTTATGTTTACTGGAGATCCTATATTGCCCACAGGTGTAAATAAGAGTGTGAATGGGTGTCTGTCTCTGTGTGTTAGCCCGGCAACAGACTGCCAGCCTGCCCATGGTGCACCCCACCTCTCGCCCTATGGCAGCTCGGGTAGGCTCCAGCTTCCTTGTGATCCTGAACTCGATAAGTAGAAGAAGATGTACAAATAACCCCAACCGGTCGCGGCAGATGGCCGCCCCTCTCTGAGCCTGGCTCTTCTGGAGGTTTCTTCCTGTTAAATGGGAGTTTGTCCATCTCACTGTCACCAAAGTGCTTGCTTAAAGGGAATATGTAATTGTCAGGGTTGTCTCTTTTGTATTATTTTAGGGATTTTACCTTACAATATAAATCACACTGAGGTAACAGTTGTTTTGATTTGAGGGTGTATAAAAGAGAATTGAATTGAATTGAATTAAATAGCTGGACTGATGTTTGAACGCATACAAATTGGTAACTTTGCTCTACCTGCTTAGTTTTTATGAATCTATAAGAATAATTATGATGATAATTTTTTTCTTTGCTGGACTGTAGTATTTGATATCTTATTCAAGGAATTGGTCATTCACGAGACACTGTGACCCTCTTAAATCAGACTAAAAATAAAACTTCCTACCTTCCTTCCAAGATAATGTGATAAAGTAAAGGAAGAGCCACACTCTCTTTATCTCTGACCATGTGCTCACTAATAATAATTTCATGTTGACTTACCAAGAATAAACTTTTTAGTGGTGTGATCACTGTAATGTTCTTATTCCTCTATGAATAAAACATCAAGAATTGCTCCTGGTGCTAGCTTCAGCTAGCTGTTTATTATTCTTTCTACCACGATAACTTCTTCTGCTACTCTGTATATCTAGGTTTACAAGTGAAGGGGTGGAACCTGATCAGTCAAAGGTACAAGCCATATTGGATATGCCAGCACCCACTGACAAAAAAGGTGTCTTGCGAGCAATGGGGATGATCAACTTTCTGGGTAAGTTCATTCCTAATCTTACCTCCAAGACAGCATGCCTAAGGGAGCTGCTACAGCACAACACAGTGTTCGAGTGGACGGCCCGGCATGAGAAAGAGTGGAAAAAATTGAAGGAAACTGTAACTACAGAGCCGGTCTTGACATTCTTTGATCCATCAAAGCCAACAAAAATTTCAACAGATGCCTCAAAAGATGGCTTGGGAGCAGTTCTGCTCCAAAGGAACAAAGACAAGTGGCAACCTGTAGCATATGCGTCCAGATCAATGACAGAAACTGAACAACGCTATGCTCAAATTGAAAAAGAGACTTTGGGCTTAGTGTTTGGGTGTGGAAAATTTCACAGCTATGTATATGGATTACCAACCTTTACAGCAGAGACTGATCACAAACCTCTCATCTCGATCAGAAAAAAGAACCTCAACGACATGTCACCCAGAATTCAGCGCATGATGATGGTGTTGCAGCGCTATGATTTTGAGCTGATCTACACGCCTGGGAAATATATCGTACTCGCGGATGCATTATCCCGAGCGCCAGCACCAAGTGGTGACAGGTTAGTCAGCGCTACAGCCGAGGAGGCTGAAACACATGTAAACATGGTAACTGCCTCACTCCCAGCATCAGATGTCATGTTGCAGCAAATTGTACAGGAGACGACAAAAGATCCAGTGCTGCAGAAAGTATCACACCTTATACAGAATGGGTGGTCAAAAGGAGTCTGTCCAGGGTTCTACTCTGTGCGAGCTGATTTATGCATGGCTAATGGGCTGGTGCTGAGACAATCATCACTGGAGTGTGGGGCATCACCTGCTGAGCTACTCATGCATCGCAAGCTCCGCACCACACTTCCACACATTTCCAAGGAAAATGACAATGCACATGACAACAAGCTGACCGACAAAAGAATGAAACTCAAGCACAGACAGAAAAGGAACTATGACAAAACTGCAAGGCATCTGGAACCGCTAGGGATGGGTATCGAAAACCGGTTCTTGTTGAGAACCGGTTCCCACTGTTTCAATTCCTTGGAATCGTTTGCCATTTTTGCAAACGATTCCCTTATCGATTCCAGTCGCCCCGAATGACGTCACCACGTTGCGGAGCGTCATTTACCTGGCAGGAAACACGGCGCCTAAGCGGCTCAAACGCTCAAAAGTTTGATTATACTTTATGAGAACCGATGACAACAGGGCAACTTGCAAAGTAGATATTTCATTTAAGGGAGGAAACACTACGAATATGCAAAAGCATTTGCTCACAAAACACGCGATGACACGCGTTTTTAATTCCGCTCCGGACTCGTGACTCTCAACCCAGCAGCAGCGCTAACGTTTGCACGTCCTCTCCCGTTAATGCGGCAGGTAAATAATCAACTAACAGTGCATATTATGTTAGCGCAATCTGCCTTATTACAAGACCTGCCATTACTGTACATGTAGGTGACCATGATGAGAGAGACAGACAGAGTCTGGCTGGCGCTCGCTGGCAGTTCTCGCTGCAGTCTACCGGTAGCGTCTCCTTTCAGGCCAGGATAGACGAATGTCACCGAGCAGTGTCTAAGTTTGTGGTCAAAGGCTTGCACCCATTTGCCACAGCAGATGCCCCCGATTTTTGGTAAGTGAATGTGTTTAATTGTAGGCAGGGACATTACTGGATATTCTTGTGTAATTGCCACAGAACAATTTATGTTATACTTTGTTATTGCTACAGAAGAATGTTGCAGCTTTAAGGCAGGGATGACTCCTGGAGTTGCTTTCTCACTGCATATGCTTTATTTCACAATCAGATCGATTCGATAACAAAAACATACAGCAGCTCCTCTCCTACTCCTAGCCCTTCGCTGCGGTGGAAAAAAGAACGACTTCAATCCCCTTCAAGGAACATACGTACAAAATAGTTTTCCTGATACACCAATGGGGCGTTCAATGCCATCTTGTAAATATGAGTACTCTGGCAGAGTAACAGTTCAAATGAAAAATACACCAGAACAAACAAGCAAACAAAAAAAGAAGTGTGGGGTACCTTTGAACCAATGAACAAAGTATAACAATTTATACTTTTTAACATAACCCGACCCCGTCAATATGTGATATGTCTCACAAGAATATTTATTTTATTATTTTACATTTACAATTTTTTTTCCTGGGGACCCTGTGACACCCCATTGAAGAGCCGTAGGCTGGATCTCTCAAGATCTCACTGTTGGGTTTGTAAGGCCATGTTACTCCTAAATTTCTATCTTGTTCAAAGAGAAGATATAAAACAAAGTTCTGAGCTAATCGACCTTAGTGTTCTCCTTTTTAAAAAAAAAAAAAAGAATCGATAAAGAATCGAATCGTTAAACAGAATCGAAAATGGAATCGGAATCGTTAAAATCTTATCAATACCCATCCCTAGAACCGCTTCAGGAAAGAGATGTTGTGAGGATTGCAGGTCCAGATTTCTGGGACAAAAAAGCAACAGTTCTCAGCGAAGTAGGGCCCAGATCGTTTGCTGTTCAGACAGAGAATGGACAAGTGTTAAGAAGAAACCGGAGAAGTCTGTTAAAGACACAGGATGTTAAACATCAGGACACAGAGACTGGAACTGAACAACGAGGTGCTAACCCTGTTGAGCACCACAGTGAGCCTCCTTCACCTTCCCCAATGTCTGAGATACTGAGAAGGTCTACCAGACCTAAGAAACCTACAGAGAGGCTCATAGAACAAGTGTGAACTGTTGTGGTAAAGAATTGTTAAAAAATAATAATAATAAATCACAAGTAAATAACGGATAATAATTCATTTAGAATAGTAATTGTTCACACTTACTTGAGACCTACTGAGTTATGTGTTATTGACTGTTCAAGTTGTCAAAGGTGAAGAGTTCTAATGTGCTTGAGGGCTGTATGGGATTCATTTGGTTCATTCTGGAAGATGTAAGGTATACATTTGGATTTATTTTGTTTGACTTGTGCTACAACTTTTGGTTATATAAAAAAAAAAAAAAAGAACACTACTGAATGTAGTTTGTTGCACAATTTATAACATGTTGAATGTTAGACAAGAATGTTCAGATGTTACAGAGTAACAGTACTCTTT